TCTAAATTTATCCGTATAATAGAACTCCAACCATTTACGTATAATGAACATCTAATCATAGACGTATAATTGACGTATAACAATAGACGTATATTAGAATTTCATTCCAGACGAATTGCGGACCACATTTAGACGTCTGAAGTATGGGTTTAATAGACGTATATTATACGTCTTTTGCCCACTAGCACCCCGTTTGTATTGCTAAGTGGCGTAGTTGTACACGAGGCAGGAACATTCCTCGCCCATAGGGTTCACCTTACTGTGACACTAACTTATGAGAAATAGGTTAATCAGCAATTACGTCTTCCTATGAATTTTGTCTTAATGTGCATTACACAAACTAACTCAACGAGAGGAACCGAAATAAACATGAAAAGAGTTTGCTTTGGTTTTTTCCTTTGCCTGAAATATTTTTATCGGCAGGCAGAAATATTCACTTTAGCCATGTTATCTGCACACAATAGTATCCCCTTAGATATGTCTGTCCCCCGCAGAAGCCACACTCATTCGTGATACCCCAGGGATACACTTCTCTGCAGTGTGCGAGTGTGGAATTTGGTATCCCCTGCAAATTTCGTGGCTGCTGCCTCTCAAAAAACCCCAGCTCACACAGCCAGCAGACCTCTGGTTCCCCACACCCTCACAGCACCTCTGGGCCGAATCGGGCCAGCGGGTCCCGAGGCACACATGCGCACTTTGAAAGGGGATACAGATTTCCACGGCATACTGAAGTCGATACGACAGGCGACAGGAGAGTGAAAGCCGGTACCCACTTGCACAAATTCGTCTCGCAGATGTACTTCACCCGACCTACAGCTTGGCTAACGAAGAGGTAAGATGTTAGCGTGTTATGTAGAAGTGCACCGTGGGTTATGCTTCTAGTTTAATTGGGTTATTTGTTTCCGTTTTCACTTGTTCCTTTGCAGCCTACGCATGCTGACGCAGCTACAGTTCCTACTTGAACTACATATTATCTCACTGGTGCGAATGATTCAATATTCCGAATCAGAGCACCCTTTAGTTTCTGCTTGGGAAAAAAACTTACACATACGGCTGGCGCTCATTACTCACGTAAACATCCACACCCAAACCAATGCACATCTAATGCTTTGCTGGCGGAAACTGAACTAAATCAGATAATGATTACCTCTGTTACTCAGTTACACCTCTGAGGCAGCACTGTTATTAATCATATTGTTTTAACAATTGCTGGAACAACTTTCCATAATCACACCTTATTGTACCATATTTATTAATTAAAAAACTAAATGTGTATGAATAATACATTTAATATATTTATGCACAATTAGCAAAGGCATGTTAACAAAAGTCTTATATTTTTCTAAATGTACCATACATCCATATTACACAAATAATACTCACATTTTCTGAGGAAAACAGGTGTTACTCAGAGTAGTTATTCGTAAGAAGTCCCACAGGTCGATTCCTGATTTTCTTTCAGTCTGAAAGACGAGCTACAGTATGACTACATTCCTCATACAGGCGGTCCTTGCATTGTTCTCGTAAAAACTATTGTGTAAATGCACATGCTCACACATACACGTTTGAGAGGCTCTTGTTACTTTTCTATTTCACTCAACTGTGGGGGAGGGGGCATATCCAAATTAAATGAAAATATCCTTAAGATAAGATAAAATATGAATTGTATTGTCCCTTAGGGCAAATTTGTAAGGACTCAGATTTGTTCTGTACATCTGAATACATCACCAAAAACTTAACCATCAAAACTTATGCCCATGTTTAACTCATTAAAAAAAAAGTCATGAAATATTACACATACAGTCCACAGTTTGGTATAGCATAAATTGTTTATACTGACTTAATTGCATTTAGCTTTGCCATTTGTTTGTATTAGATGCTTTAAAAGATAGGAGAACATATGAATATTGGTATCTATTTGATCAACATCTGGGAACCCTCATTTACCAGAAGAAGGAAGTTAATATTCTGAATTAAGAATATGAAAAATATCTGATATGATTTTTTTCACCTGTCCAGTCATGGATTGGTCAAATAATATCTGCAAGTTTCACTCCCCTAACCTTCATTGCTGTTTGGACAAGATGGGTGAAATTGTATCTTAACTGGACTGATAAAATTACCAAATCACACTGTTATACCATATAATAATGTTATCAATAAAAGCGTGGATTAAAGTGGAGTTTTATTTCCGTAAAACTCACAAGCGCTGCTGAACTCTGGAGCTATAAGAATTGCACTTACAGAAACTTCCTGTAAACCAAACGATCTGGGAAACAAAAGGAGATGCTGAAATCAAGTAATTATTTGCCTTTCCTTTTCTTCTGGACTGTCTCCATCGGTAGGCAGTAATGAAAGTGACATTTGGTGTTCTGACGTTACTATGACTGATTTCAACTAGAAATAGAAAAACACATTTCAAAACTATCTCTTACAGAAAATTAAGCAAACATCAGAGTGTCTCTGATTTTAGCACTTCGGAGTAATAAGGTGATAATGATTATGATGGAAAGGTTAATTAAAATGCTGAAAAGAGAAAAACAGAAACACAACCTTTCGGTTGTAGAGCCTTCTTCGGGTGTACACAGCTGAGTCCACAGCCGAAATGTTGTTTCTTTTCTTCTCTTTTCAGCGTGGAATTAACCTTTACTTGTTCCTATGCAGTCTACACATGCTGAGGCAGCTGGGACTATGATGATTATTAGTAGAATTAATATAATACAGTAGTTTTATAGACTTTAAGGAAACATATTGGTTTTCAAGGACAGCACAGTAACTCCACACACCAAACCTAAGCTGTAATTTGAGTGCTAACTAGCTTATTCACTATCTGCTGCACAGAGGCTTTGCTGCTTACTGGCTTCCCAAACAACACACAAATACAAGGCTTTCTCCGAGACTCACCATGAAACTGCATCTCTCTCTGAGAGTCACTTGGTCAGTTGCTTCCTGTAAATGAGTAAGCCTGCTAAACCATGACTTATTGTTCGTTCGCACACCTACTGTTGGATCACAAAAACTTAACCTTACAGGCAGCAGCAAAGATACAAAATGTGTTGTTTTCTTGAAAGGAGGTAGAGACACAAAAATAAATACATCAGAGAACAAGCAGGCAAGGAGCTAACCAAGGAAGAGTGCAAGGTAGAGGAGGGGTGGTGTAACGAACAGTTCTTTCCAGACTCTATGCGGGCAACAATTCGGAATAGTGAGGAAACACTGGGGGAAAAGCCATGCAGGAAACGGGGATCAAACAATCCAGTAGAAATCCAAAGGAGGAAACCAAAACAAAGCAAAGTCCAAACTCGGGAGGTCCATCCAAAACCAGACAAGATAAAAACTAGAACCGGGTCGGAACCGGGAATGGGAATGGGAACAGAGACTACAACCTTAACAGTACCAGGCGCTTCCAAGTGCCGGACTCGCACGATACGGAGATCAGATGCAGAGCCGGGATTAACGTCAGCACCTGGCTTTTAAGGTGGACTGGGAACAGGAGACAGGTGCACAAAATGAAAGTGAAAGGGCCGGAGCGCCCATAAGGGGGGAGGGACTACAGTTGTGACAGGTGGAGGAGGGATGCAGGAGACAAATGTGAATGAGGTGAGGTGTTTATGTTAGAAATGTATAGCTAGTTTCCATAATTATTATCTTAAGGACGAGCTGGGTGGCATTGACTTGTTGTTATCCCTCCAGAACTTCAGTTATGAACTTCCATTTCACAAGACACAACAAAATTGCATGTGAATGTTTGAGTATTTTGTGGCGGGATAGTTTTAGTCAAAACTTGCTTGGTTAAGGGGCAGCCCCCTGGCCTGGGGTCGAGGTGCCTCCAACCCCCCAACAAAGGAGACTAACCTGAAACGAATCCCAAAGCCATCAGTGCAGAAGCAGAGACAGAAGATGAGGATGCATTGCTTTGGGAGATTGTATAGAAAGCTGTAAGATATCAAAAGATGGGAAGTTAGTGTGGTGAGAGAGAGGAAATGATCCAAAACACTTCTGTGCAGTCAAAAAAGAGCTACTGTAAGTGAGCAAAGTGCACTTCCCAAAAAAGTAACATAGGCCCTCTGAAGGTAATGTCAAACGTAAAGATTCACAGGAATATACTATAAGATTCTAATAGAGAAGAATTGGATGAAGATTAAGACTTACATCTGGGGCCAAGGTTCTCAATTTCTGAAGCTGAAAACAAGAGAGAGCATCAGAGGCAGTATTTAAGTACCCTCAGAACTGGGTGCATCAGTTAAGAATCGATCAGCAATGGGAAGCCAGATGAGATGAGAGAGGAATTTCACGATGTACTTATAAGAAAAAATTCCTTTACTGATAATGTGTACCAAAATACAGTTATTTGAGTGGATGAGACCACACTGTTGTTTCCAGCTATGACTTGGCTAGGAATGTGGCAATGGTGCTTAGTTACAATTTGGAAGCTGGGGGTTTCTGAGAAGGAGTTGTAGATGAAAGCTCACCAGGCCAGTTTCCCCCAAACCACTGACCTGAGACCTAATCCTCTGGCAATAACAACATTTCATCACAGAAGAAAAACTGCCCTTTCTAGTTTTCCAGGAAGAAGTGCCATAATTGAAGAAGCTCCTGAAGACTACTGAATACCTCATGTTAAAAGGAAGGAACAGATGAAACCAAATCTGAAATAACAGCCTGCGGAGGGCGTGACAGTACCCCCCCCCCCCATGTGCGGCTCTTGACTCCCATACAAATAAGTGAGCTGCACAGCACTGGGGGGAGGAAAAACCTCATTTAACTGAAAGGAAACCTCCGGGAGTCCACGGCTGAGAGCTGCCCCCTCCTCCAGGGTATAAACCTTTATTGGGTAGAGGAAGGGGGGGTCATGTAGAGCTCCGGAGACTTAAAACAAAAAAAAGACAAGTACACAAGCACAAACAATGACCGAAATAAACCTGGGAGATCAGGGTAACAAACCACACTACACAGATAGGAACCAAGAGCTCCACAACACAGGGGTCAGGGGGACCAGAGAGATGGGGAAACCAGGAAGTGAAAAATCAAAACACCAAGCAAAAAACAAAAATAAAAACACAAAAACCCGGGAAAAATACAGCAGACAGGGCAATAGGCACGTTCACATTATATCACTGATATCAGAGTGGACAACCCGAGGAAAGCCAGGCCGCAGCCTGCTCACAGGCACGGATGTCAGGAAGGTGATATCCTGCAATTAGAATGGGAGAGGAAAAAGGGCTCACCACCCTGTCGCTGATATCGGAGTGGACAACCCAAGGAAAGCCAGGCACACACAAATTTAACATTCGAGAATTCGCTTATTCGCAATTCAGTCTGGCCAATGGGGTCTTGGATTAAAGAAGAACAAAGCAGGATGAAACCGAGCTAAAGGCTGTTAAAAACCACTTTCATATTAGCGGCACCACAGATAAGACGAATCTATCGAGAGAGTGAATGAGCCTCTCCCTGCCTCCAGTGCCCCCTAATTAGCATCTACATCTCAGCAAGGTCTTGTGTTCATAGTGTAACGAACGCTCCAGGTTCTGTGTCAGCAGTGTGGGGAATCACAGGCTGGGGATGACTTTACAGGCTCACTGACAGTTTTATTGCCTATTTCATTACGGTGGCTCATGATGTTCACAGGGGCAGAGAAAGTGCAGACTGGAAGAGAGAAGGAAATTCATGTTGTTATTTTAGCTGATTACTATTGATTCTTTTGATTCTTTTAGTTGATGAATATTATTTATAACAACTTTAAACCAATGCATTAGTACTTCAATTATCATATAAGGGTACTGTTTAATCTATTGAAGTGGCTATTTGAGGTGTCTCAGGATCTAGAGGTGTTTGCTGCGGTCTATTTTGCAAATTAATGTTGTGGATCTGAGACAGATTAATGAAAAGGAAATATGTTTTTTTTTCCATGGCTTACCCTACTTAATTAACAAGCCAGGAAAACAGGATAAAAAGAGAGGTAGAGAAGGGAATAGCAGAAGATGCAAGGTACAGAAGGATACAGAACAGGCAGAATGACAGAAGGATACAGGGAGAGAAAATGGAGGTCCAGGTGAGAGATTCTAATTAAGTATTTGAAACATGTTAAGAGCACTTCCCATTCTGTTATTTATGTCTTTTATAAAGAATCCTTAGATTTAAAATGGTCTCTCCTGGTTGGATGCAACATTTAGAATAGGGAAGTAGGGTTCCATTGTACTATCTGAATTTATAGGACGAGGAGGGATTTAACTGTAATGCTTAACGCTTGGTTTAGTAGGCAGGTTTATCACTCTTCTTGACCTTTGTAGGTATTATATAGGATTTTAAACACTTGGGGGCAGGTTCTTGTTGGTCAGGACGTAGGCTTCTGAAACGCCTTGTTTGTAGATGGAGTAACTGGTATGTTTTATGTTGTTGCATGTTGTGTTGTTTACTTTAGTGTGTGGTATTGTATTCATTAATAAATACTTGATTATCCCAATTTGCCTCTGATTTGTTCCTCAAAAGCTGTACTAGAGAACAAAGATCTCAAGTGCCTCTAATTATACCAACTACTGCGGAATATCCTTGGCATATTTTGCACAATTTGGGAGTTGCCATTTTTTTACATTACTGATTATCCTACTTTGTCTATTGTTGATATCTGTCTCATTTTCTTAACCTCCTGCTTTGTAGCAAACTAGCTGCCAGAATTGAATTTTCTGGTTTAAAAAGTAAAAAAAGCAACATATCCTTGAATGACATTGATTTAAAAATATGAGTACTCTTATGTAGATAAGTACATATAAGTACTCTTATGTAGGTGCGATTTCCCTCAAGGGATCAATAAAGAATCTATCTATCTAGATGTTCAGATGTTTTTCAAATCAAATGAAAAGTATTTTAAAAAATCTAGAAGCCGAAATAAAGGCAATGATATTGATAACTGCTTTGCTAATCAGAGTGATACAACGGTAAAATCTATGTGATCAGAGGACGATCATTATATATTTATTATATTAGTTTATATTACAGTAGTTATTAATTATATTATATCATATTATAACACAGCATAAACACAGTCCCTGATGGTACTCGGAATTCTGGGATAGAACAATCCTCAGGAAATGCTCTAACTGCACAGCAGACTGCACACAGAGACCCACCACTGGTGACTGAGGCTGGGCAGTAATACAGCCCTTTCCAGTTGACCAACAAGAGATTGAAATTGAAAGTCTAGTTTGAAAATTGATGTGCGTGATAGCTGACAATAAAGGGAACGAACAGGTGAAGCACTCAACCTTGAACAACGATTCACATAATTCATACAATTAAAGTAACCTCACAGAAACAAAAGATCCTATTTTGTACACAGAGGACAAATAGGTAGACAAATACAGCTGACTGTGATTGAGCTCATCAAGGAGAGCTGAGGCTTTCTGCCTTCTCGGTTGTATTTGTGTTTGTATTGAGGTGTTGTGTAGATAAGCGTTTCGAATGGAAATACATTTTTTGTGTACCAAAAAATGTGTACCACATGTGTTTCTAGGAAATGAAGGAATAACTCAATCCTTTCAAAGTTCTGTTCTATACCATGTTGCCCTTTGCTCAATGGGTTTTCTTTTCTCCATTCACATTGGTTGTTGTGTATGTAGAGAATAAGGGTATTATTCCACTCTTAATTCATATGATTAATGCATTTAATGTATTGAGACTCATTATTTTTTAGAAGTAGACGTGCTCAGAATACCAATAGTAATACTCACATTTTCAGATGAAAATAAGAAAACAGGCGAGTTATTTAGAAAAGGGTCAATCATAAGACAGACTTCATGCAGGCTGACCTCACGTTCCTTTTAAGTTTGGAAACACCTACTGTGATAATATAAATTATACAAGCACTGCCTGCCATTTCCTGATAAAACCAGTTGTACACGCAAGCACACGCTCAGCCATTTGACTATCCCAGCTTTCAGAGGCTTTTCTACCTTTTTTTTCAGGCACCAGCCTTTTTTCTTCCTCTACTGTACATCGCTTTTGAGAGTGAGCAAGACCACAGTTCTGGTTTGAATATTTGATGCAAAATACAGGATAACAGACACAAGCAAATGATTTCATTGCGCTGAAATCACCAGTTAGCAAAATTCAGTTTAAAGTTCAAAACATAATACCTCATAAAACTAAAATAATTGTTCTTTTTTTATATAAATAAACATATATATTACATTCATACTCACTATAGTACTGTGCCATAGTGCCAGGATGTTCCATAGTTCTAGTCATAACATGAAAGTAGAGCTTTGCTTTAGATGTTAAAAGGGAAGATTTAACTTAGTTCTACTTGATCACTGTGTACTGAGCCTATGGGAGAAAGCACTAGATAGCCACAGCTAACACTCTATCTGTCAGGCCATACATCATAGGATATTTCTCTCAAGTTCTCTCTGTTTTCCATTCATACTGCATGGGTTGTCTGAGGTCCTGCTTGGTTCTTTTTGGGGGTTCTAGTCTCCTCTTCCTACAGTATGGCCAGGAGGCTAGTCCTCAGCCAGGCAGAATAAGTCTAAATTACTGTGACTAAAACACCAATAAACCTTTCTATTTGCTCAATTCTTGGGTGTTATTATTTCTAGTGAAATAAACCTTACAGCTCATAAGGAATAAAAATAAGTTTTAGTCAAAGGCAAGAGACAATGAATTCCCTTTATCCTCATATCCAAAATGGAAAGCAAAAAACAGATTCCATGTGATGGAGCTGAAGAAGGCTCCACGGCCGAAACGTTGTGTTTTCTCTCTTCTTTTTTTCAGCATGGAATAAACCTATTACTTGTTCCTTTGCAGCCTACGCATGCTGTCGCAGCTACCCACCTGAAGTACTCAATAATAGACCTGAACATAGCACACACTCCCCTCTTCAATAATAGATCCGAACACGGCACACACACACCACTCAATAATAGACCTGAACACAGCGCACTCTCCCTTCCCCTCACTATGACAGACATGAACACAGCGCACTCTCCCCTCCCCTCACTATAACAGACCTGAACGGCACTTCCAGTATCAGTCTGAAGACAGTGTTTGCCGCGAGGTGAAAAAGAAAAATCAGAGCAGCACGACATTCAGAGGCAGAGGACAGGTGAGAACTCGGCTCTTGGCAGTTTTCATAGGATTTATGGAAAATGTGACACCACCCGCTTGCCGAACTCTCCGTCAGTTGAGTGAAGATACTCGGTTACTATCTAAAACAGACTTCTGAATCATTTTTCGATCACTACCACAGAAAACACCAACACTTTCTGCAAATGTTTTGCACGATTAAATGTTACTGAAGTGGTTAAAAAAACTTCCTGATAGAAGCGACGAGCGTTCGTTAAACGTTAAGGCGAAACTGTTGCGTTTTGGAGAGAAGAGGGGCTGGTGCAGATTTTAGACCCGTGCGCGTGTGTGTGCAGTTTGTGCGCTGTGATTCTGCAGTGATGCTGTGATCAATTTCATTATTTCACTTGATTGAATGGCGTAGAGAGCAGGGGCACTAGTAATACAGTAGGTGTTAGTCTTAATGCGCCGGATAAACTCCCCTCTGTGGTCTGTACAATCTGGAGTACAATGCAGTGGTGTGGGTGAGTGGGATACCTCCTCTATGTGGAAGGAGCTCAGACATTACTAAAATGATAATAAATGCAAGGAATTATTTTTTATAATAATCGACACACTTGTGAATATATGTCCTGTACAAATCTGCGAAGACTGAGAAAGCTGCAGATTTAAGTAAAAAAGCTAAAGCAGATATTTTTACCAAGTGATTCAGCACAAACAAATAAAAAAGCCTCCGTTTTCGGGTAGGATCTTACATTAAAGTCTTAAAACAGAATTTAGCACCAGGAACATAAGGCAAATAAAACATAAGGCATACAAATCAAATGGCCTGCTGATTTAATTCATATTATCAACTGCACTAATTGTGCTTCAATGAAGTAAAGGTAAGAACGAAGGGGTTAAAGAGAATATTAAAACTCTTCCTGCAAGAAAACTGATAAGACAGCTGCTTCTGTCCGACCACCGGATACTGTAACAGGAAACTCTGCTAACGACTCTAAAAGACTGAACCTGGTGAAGGTGTCTTTCTCATAAATGAAGAGCATCAGAATGGTTCAGCCCACGCAGCCCGTTTGGTGGTTGATTCCAGGATCATCCAGCGGTTTCATGAAGCATAGCAGGTGCTGGCTTCAACAGCACGGCTGGGCAGCTCGTCCCAGACTCCCACGACCAGTTTGCATGACTTTGAGGAACTGCCTCCAGTTCTCACTTTTGAGTGCATTTCCTTTTAATTTCCACTTCGTGTTTCACCGTCGAACCCGATGAAGTCCACTGGGTTAACCCTGTCAGTGGCTTTTGAGCAGTATGAAATGAATCAGGTTCGCTCTCTGTTGTCTCTGCTCGACACTGAAGAGATGCAGGTCCTACAGCCAGCCAGCGTAGGACACTCCTTACAGCCTGGGAATGTTGCTGGTTGCTGTTCTCTAGACAGATTCTAGAGCAGCAGTATCTCCTGTTAATGGATGGAAAATTGACAAGAATCAATTTAAGCAATGGTCCTCCCTATTCCCACTGAAGAATTTTCACCAACAGTAACAAGAGTGTTTTCTCCAATCCTGCTTAGTGATACAGAGGGGTCTGTTATTACTTCAGGTGGAAGTAATACCTTCCACCTTTCCTCCAGCATGATAATTACTTCAGGTGCAGCGAACAGTGGACTACCTAGCCTTCAGCATGAGCATAACCTGTGCTGCTGCCTGTTCTCATCTCCAATACTCTGCACATCCAGACCTGCTTTGATACAGAATGATCCATGAAACCCCTGGTAGACCACTCTCCACCCACAGTGCTTTGCACAGTTATACCACAAACCTTTTTTTTTACAGTAGCTGTCTGAGACTCGACCCCAATGCACTGTGAACCAAAGAGGTGGTGTATTTATTCTCCTGCTTTAGTCTGCAAAATACCATCTAGGGCTTTGTTATGTCTGGGATATAGGAACCTTTGCTCTTAAGTCTGTCAGGAGAAGGGCTAATTAACTGTAGTGGGAGAATGAGTAATCAATTTTAAGAAACGATCGCTTGTTTTTAAAGAAATGCACATTTTTTATTTCCTTTTTTTCAGCTCCCATCAAACAAAATTAAAAATGAGACGCTGCAGCTCAGAAGGTATGTTTATGTAGTGTACGGTATGTATGTGAGTATGCCTGTGCACTTGGGCATGTTTGAATGTGTTTCTTAGAGAGCGTCTATGTCTCTGCTTGTGTGTGCATTTGAGTGTGTGTATGTCTGTGCATATGTGTGCATTTCAGTGTGTATATGTGCCTGTGTGTGCATTTGAGTGTGTGACCTGTATGTCTGTGCATGTGTGTGTGTCTGTGCATGTGGGTGTGACCTGCATGCGGTCTGATAAAGCTGTAGATTCCGGTGCTCAGCTTTTCAGAAGAAAGCGTGATGTCATCGTGGAGGAAGGTGCCAGAGCTCCACCACAGTGGGATGGAAATGCAATTTAAAAAATGCCTACAAGCATGTCATTGGCAGTTTAGAGATGAGAACAGGGTGAGCCATAAGAACACAAGAAAGGTTGAAGTAGGAATTTAGTACATAATTGACCCTAGGATCTCATCCAGTTGATTCTTGAAAGAAGCCAGGGTTTAACAACTTTAACAACCTGGTAGGGCAACTTGTTCCACACCCCCACTACCCTTTAGTAAAGAAGTGCTTCCTGTCCTGATTGGAAGATCTTATCCAGCTGTATCTTGAAGGAATCCAGGGAATAAGCTTCAGCAGCATAACATGTTCCATACTCCTACCACCCGTTGTGTAAAGTAAGCCCATGTTATCATTTTCTCACAGATGTTTGTGAGGATGCGTGCAAGAACAAACTGCTGGACACCTTTGCCTCCCTCGCCCGGCTCCTTGAATTCCAGACAGCGGTTGAAATGGCTGACATCCTGCTGAGCAAACAGAAGATCAACCTGTCGGAATACCTGGAGCTGCACTGCAGCAAGGACGTCCGGCAGTTCCTGCTCATGATGCTGAAAAAGCCGAAACGAGACCAGGAGTTATTCTTAAAGACCCTGCAGGAGAAGAACTGGTGCTTGTACAAGCAGGCAATGAAAGAAGGTAATAAAACTAAGAATTCCTTTCTTGCATAGTGCCTATATAATGTAAGAGACCAGTAAACACACTTTAAACAGATTTAAATGTTAAAGTATAAGACTGAGTCTTAAGACCAGATTTAAAGGGCCGACCTACTGTTGGTTCTGATATAGGCTGAGGACGGTTCTGATATATGCTTCCACGGTCTTGGAGCAACAGAAGAGAGGCCAGTCTTCCAGACTTTCCCAGTTTCTCAGAGGGCCTCCTCAAACTGGAGGGGCTCCTCAGGGGCTCCGCAGGCAGGTACTGGAGGGGCTCCTCAGGGGCTCCGCAGGCAGGTAATGGAGGGGCTCCTCAGGGGCTTCGCAGGCAGGTACTGGAGGGGCTCCTCAGGGGGTCTGCATCAACCATCTTTGTTTGTGTTTGTGGTCAGTGGTTAGCAGTTTCTAACTGAGGCTTACGGAAATCCGCAGACTCTAACACAGGTACTGTATGTCTCTCTTTGTGGCAGCATGCGAGATGAAAAACTGCTTGTTGTGTCGGCAGCCAGGCTCCCCAGCCCACCCTCAAGGTCAGTGCAACAGTGGCTTGTCCTCGCTCTCTGATTCTCTTTCCTGCCTCTGGTTTCCGGAAGGCTGAGAGTCATCCTGGATGGATACCGGACAGTCCAGGACTGCTTAGACCTCGTGGTCCTGCAATACAGTGGGGTGTGAGGTTACTTAAGCCCCTCCACAACCAGAGTGGACACAGGGGGAAACAGGGTCAATGACTGATTCCACTAAGCCATTAGAAAGTCAAGCTGGAATACATCCCAGATATCCTTGTGGTCATTCAAGCACCAGGAACGCACTGTGGTCATCAGATATTGAGGTGCACAGCCCTCATTTTATTGAGGGATGTTTTTTTTCCTGATGTGCAGTAGTGTCCAACACAACAGGGAGTGCTGAGGTCTGGGATAAGCACATTGCAGTTGTTAGGAATCCCTGGTGGGAAGATACAGGGATCCTGTGCAGACGCAGGCACGGGTGATAGATGAGGCAGGCGAACAAACCAAAACGAGAGGCAAGGTCGTAGTCAAAAGGCGAAAGGCAAGTCGTAATCCAGGAAGTTCTCCGGTAGCAGACAGTCTGAGGCGAGAGGCGAGGTGCAAAGTCGAAAAGGCAGAGAGGAATCCAAAATCCAGAATAAACGAGGTACAGGGGAAAAACGCCAGGTAGAGCTCTCAAGGAGTAGACTCAATACCAAGCAGTGGGAAGCAGGTGAAGATGGTTTAAATAGCAGTGCGCACCGCACAGTGAGTGTGCGCAGGTGGTTTAACTCGTGCGGCGGCATTTGTTAATAATCACCCGCTGCTGGGGCTGATTAGCTCGCTTACGCTTTGGTCTTGACTGCCTGGTGGTCGTGACAGCAGTAAATTAAGAACATTGCAACAAATCAAATTGCTCTCCTGGGATGAATAAAGTATTTTGAATTGAACTGAATTAGGGGCTCTGACTTAGGGTGCAGGGAGGTTCAGTAACTTGTTCTGGGGATAGGGGTCCTGTGAGTTGGAGAGCCTTCTTGAAACCCTTGACTGTAGGGCACAATCTGCTGGTTATCGTTCAGAAAGCCAGAGTGCTGGTCTTTGTCTTCCCAACTTGCTACCTTTGTATGTTGCTAGGACATACCACAGACAGGAGCTGTACTATAAACACTCCTACCTGGCGAACTATACTCAGAATGGGGCAAAGTACATACTAATTGCACTGCACTATCAGTGATCAGTCAATCAGAGGACAGGAAAATACCAATTCCTCCTTTTAATCTTTTGCAGAACCAAGGAGAAGAAAGGGATCAGAAACCATGGATGAAGTCCCAGCAAGTAAGCAAATAAAACAGCAAAACTTTAAGTCATGTTCCATGTTGGGGCGGAGCATCTCCTCAGAGTGAGGCAGGATCATGTTCACTTGAGAGGGAGTGATTACACAAACTGGCCACTAGAGGTCACTGAGAGACGAGGTCTTAGCTGTCTTAGGACAGCAGACAACAGCTCAACTCCAGAGCATTCCTATGTGAGTCCAGCCAGTCAACTGGGTAAGTCAGCATTAAAACAATATAGTAGAGCTGCAAACCAGGAATGGGGACTCTTTGTAAAGATCAGCAAAAATAACAAATAGTAACTTTGAGATTTATTCTGTGAGTGCCTCAACTCAGCTGGTATCCCTTCTGTGCAGCACTTGAATTGGAGCCTCTGTGTAATAACAGCCTTGTCGTCACGAGCTGCACATACACATTTAGGGAGCAATGCTGACAGAGGCACCACTGGATGCCTCTGAATTGTGGTCGAAAGCAGATGGAGAACCTGTGGATCTGACAGCATGATGTCTGTGTTTCCCTGCAGAGAGAAAGCCCTTCAAATCGAGTGCTTTTCACCACAAACACATGGTTGGCATTCATGGAGACGACGAGGTGGACTCTGCTCGTGGCCTGAGTGAGTCTTTTGTGTAGAGACACTTGTGTAGATGTGTATTTGGAGCACAAGGGGATCAGTGTGGAGCACTCTTGCTAGAAAACTCTGGGCTCTTGGGTTCAAATCTGGCACTGTTTGTGTGGAGTGTTTATATTTTGCCTGTGTTGGAGCTGGGTTTTTCCAGATATCATTTCCATCCACTGTCCAGAGACATGCTGTCCTGATTAATTGTCATCTCTAAACTGTCCCACAAATGTGTCCTGTGATGGACTGATGTCCCAGAGTGTACTGTACTCTCACTAAGGCAGAGGTCCCTAGTCCTGATCCTGAAGAACCAGTGTGTCTGCAGGGTGTCCAGTCCTGGTCTTGGGGATCAGTGTGTCTGCAAGGTGTCCAGCCCTGGTCCTGGAAGGTCTGTCAGTGTGCCTAAAGGGAATCTAGTTCTCTTTAGAGAACTCCCAAAGAGCTACTGAAGAGCTGAGAGAAGGTGTTTAACTGGTCCAATTAAATGAGCTTATTCAGGTCATTGAATGCCCAGTTGGACAGAAAATCTTTAGACACACTGGCTTTCCAGGGCTATGATTGGGTATTCTGGTTCGCTTGCCCAGTGGGAGTTCCTCCTTGTTCCCAGAATATTATTCTTGATTTCTCAAAAGGCACCTGTGCACCTTCAAGCCACTTGTCTTGTGATATGTCACAGGGAGCACAGCTCCCTGATGGAGGATTGGAGTACCATGTGTTGCAGAGTCACTGTGATACTGAGAAACCCAGCTGACACCACCCTGCTCTTTGTAGTGCTCAGCTAATCACGCACCACAGTCTGATTAATCCCCGTCATAGCTGGGGGGCAACAGAATCAAGACTCGAATGATCAGGCTAGTGCTTTTACTGTCTCACTCGAGGAGCCCCATAGTCCTTATACTGTAGTTAGAAATTGAGTGTTCTTATCCTGCTGCAAAACTGCAAAAGCTAATAGGAGATACACATAGACCGACATGTCAGATAATATCAACCCTTTACAATGGTTAATTATCCCCAGACTAACTCTGTTGCTCTTCCAGGTGGGTACACCCTGTCGAAGATGGAGGAATATGTGGACAGGTCAGGGAACTGTGAAAGATTAATAAAGGAACTGAGGGAAAAGCTGGAGGAGGGAGAGATGGAGAAACTGGAAAACAAGCTGAGACACATGCAGACAAAAAATGGCTTCATTTTTAACTGGAGCACTGCCAGGAAGCTGACTTCCAATCAGGAGCTGAGGAGTTTCCTGATTGGTGGTAACCGGAGGATATTTCCCACCATTGTCCTGAATCAGTTCTTTCGGGTGAGGCTGAACCAGCGTTCTGGTGTTTGCTCAGAGCTGGGGGAAAGCACCGATGAGAAACAGACAGCTAATGAAAGTACCCACCCAACATGCAGTGATCCAGTCATCCCTTTTCTGGACAGTGTTTCTCCTTCAGCTATGGTTGAGCAGAAGATTTACCCAAAACCTCTATCTTCTGTGGATCAGTCTACTCTAGTATCTGCCCATGGCTCTGACAAGAATCAAAGTGTAGAGGACCTGAAAGGCGAAGAGGAGAACAACTGTAGCCCCAGTCTCAACAGCAGTGGTTACAACTCTTTTAGCAGCTCCATTTCAGAGAAGACAATTGAAACAATTCCGAATTCTGACAGGTCATGCATTCCAGAAGAGTCTGTGCCAAGAGCACCCTGTGGCATCAGCCCTGGCGAGCGCTCTGGAACATTTGAAGATGGCACAAGGACCTTCAACAGTGAGGTTGAAGGCCCATCTGGAACAAAAGGTTCTGGATCAGTAAGTACTCTGACCCTTAAAAAAAAATGTCTCTCTGGAACAAACACGGGAAATGATACTGGGAAAAAAGTGGATATTCTGTTTGAAGAGTCAAACCACATGCTTGAGAGAATTATGAATGACACCGATTCGAGTCAAAGCCCTACACTGTTTCAGAAGGATCTACATGTCTCAGATGAGGTTGGCAAGCAGAAAGAGGAAGATTTGGGGAAAGAATGCTTCTCTCTGTCAAAGGCTAAAGCATGCTCATCTCTCTCTGAGGAAGCACAGTCCAATTACTTTGGCACCAACACAATAGCAAGGAGGGCAAGCAAAGTGACCTCTTCTTCTAGAGAAAGGGCATCATTGGACTCAGAGATCTGGCTAGATGATGATGGTCTGGTTCTCCAGAAGACCCGGCCTACAACAAGGGCTCCTTCTGCAGAGTCAGCCAGATCAACCACACGGAACAATGAGACAAAGGAACAGATCCGTACCCAAAAGGGATCAAGGACGTCACAGAAAAAGCAGAATGATCAGCAGAATGATCAGCAAAAGAAAAGGTCCATGCTGAAGGAATGGGCAAGTAAAAAAGTATTTTGCTTGAAAGGAGGCACCAGTGAGGAGGAGAAGATGGGAGCAGTCCGAGCAGGGATCTCAATCATAAACCTCAAAGAGCACAAGCTGTACCCCTGCCTGGTGGCTGAGCAGTGCCTGGTGTTTGAAGACCCCGAAACTAGTAAGAGAAGGATCATTGAGATTGGGGAAGTGGGGAAAATCCTGTCCAAGAAGAAAGGGGAGTTTACTGAAGAGTTTGGTTTCAAGCTGCAGTTCCAAATGGGGGTGTTTGTAGACATCTGTGAGACTGATGTGGTCTTACCTGGAAAAATAAGAACAATTGCTTTTGATGAGCTTCTTTTTGAGAAGGTGCTCAAAACATTCTTGAAATATATCCACGAGGCCGTGCTTCCAGCTCTTGCTGTTTTTAAGAAGGTTCAGAGGGAGACCGACTTGTACTAAGCCAACTTGGGAATCCACTGTAATGGACTGAGAGATGTTCCTTGGACAGGAATACTGAACGGCTCTTTCGCTTCTTTTCATAGAAACTGCCAACATGCATGGATTGGGCTCTCCAGTGAAATTGTCGTCTCAGAGAGCTTGATCATTAGGTCCGAATCCACATCACTGTGGCAGGGAGCTCCCAGAGCTGGCTGGGGCCTCCTGGAGTGTAGCTAGGGTCGGCCAGGAGAGTGAACTTGGGGAATCCTTTTCATGATCATTACACTTCAGTGCCCCCTGTCTGGGGTCAGGCACCAGTGCCCTTCTGGTCTTCACACCGAGAGCGGTGCCAGTCCTGCCTCCAGTGTGAGAATAGTTCGAAGAAACACATAGGCTGGCACATAGGGTAAAGCCAGTGAGCCCAGCTGAGCAGTAATTGTCAGCTAAGAACAGACCCAAGAGAAGAGGAAGAGCTACTTGTAAATTATATTATTCTGCTTTTTTAAACCCTTTCCCTGAGAAAGATTCCTTTCTGCTTTTCTACTGTACCTTGTCTCTTAAAACACTTGATTCTGTTCTTAAGAGTCTTGAATCATGTCAAGTGCTGGTGACTAATAAAGTTTTGCAAAGTTATAAATGTCTGGCAGATTGTAATTGTCTGTGGAGTCAAGTGTGATTTTCATCGACCACCCCTCCTAGTGCCTCCAAGAAAGAAACTTGTTTTCACTTTAGTGAAGCCTTTAGTGAAGACATACAAAACAATGGCTTTAAGAAAGGGATTTATTCACTTCACAAATGGAGAACCAAGTATTGCGGATATATTCCATTGAACGTCTATGATAGGAAAGCTGCTCTCCCAGAACCACAGAGTACAAGACTGGACCACTCCCTGGACAGGATGCCCACACACTCGCAGGGACAATTTAGATACTGCAATCAACCAAGCCATGACTGTGGTAGTGAGGAGCGAAGAGAAGGACTTTGTCAGAGAAAACTCCATATGAACATGGGAGAGCAAGCAAAATCCACACAGGAGTCAGACAGTTCCAGTCACTACCCCAGAAGCACTCAGTATGCATTCACAATTTCAGCATTATTTACCAATTTTACACATAAAGTATCAAACCATTTACTGGAGTGATCTGTATGACATACTTTGTTCAGAGGTAGAACAGGAGTATCTCAACTTTAAATCCTCCAGCTCCATTCAACATACAGTATGAGCACACGTGTTCCTATTCGGGAATCCTAAAACCTAATTCTAAATCTCGCTAAATAATTGAAAGAATGCATCGCTCATTTCTCTGAGCACTCGCATATCTTTTTTTTGTTTCGGAGAAACAATGTTCACTCTTCAGTCTCCCTGGAAATCACGGATCTGTCCGACTTTTTTTTCTTGGCGCGAGAGTGCTGCAGTTTAATTAGCCAACAGAA